TTGATCCAGGTTGCGCACCTACGCTGTCGGTTCCTTCTGAGATCTTGGTTTGGGCTTCATCTTTTGGCAGCATGCTCTCAGCACACCCATGGGGAGTGTTGATGATAGGCGGTGACATGACCTCCTCTTTCGGACCTTCACTGTCGGTCCCTTATATACATCATTATATCCTCCACACTATCCGTCTCACGTTGCATCCGACTCCTTCCCTTCTCCATATCTCTCGCCTGCTCCGCCGCACTAAAGCGAACCAAGAATGATCAGAATTTCAGGGCTCTGTTTTCGCCGAAAAATAAAAAAAAACATTTTAGAGTTAGCGGTATTCAATTCTGCTGCAACAACTTTTTTTTTAATGAATATTTGGTGTTTTCCATTAAAAAAGAGTTTTTGAAATGACGACGTTTTGAAAAAGTATTTTAGCATTCCAAAATTTAAAAGAAACACTTTTTTTGAATGTGCATTAAAAAAAAGAAAAAATAGTTTGTTTCTTAAAAAAAAATACTTTGAACAAGTTTCATTTTTTTTGGCGTAGTTAGAGCACCCCCACTGGTATTGTGTATTGCAAAAGTGATTATCAAGAGTTAATCGGGAATTGCGCCCCCAGGCGCATCATAGAAAGGACAATTTTACAATTCGTTTGCTACTTCCTAACGATTGTATTGCACATTTTCTATTTGCAGTGTAGTTTTTTTTCTTTACGAACAGCATTTTCGAAACATTTGGAAACTATGAACATGTCGAGCGCTCGCGCACTGAATCGTTCTATCTCATTGGTTAATATTCGACGACAAGGACGTTCACACAAGAAGAAACCCGGTGGTTCGTGGCCGGGCAGAAGCCCCAACGTCGAACGAGATCACGTAGCTGCCTACAACCAGTTGAGCAAAATGTATATTGGAGAGAGATCCATGTACACTGACGAGCAGTATAGATGACGTTTTCGTATAAGCAAGACCTTGTTTTTATCTATTATAGATGCTATTGGAAGCTACGACCCTTATTTTATGTGGAAACAGGACTCTACTGGGAAAAAAGGTGTACATCCTGTTATAAACTCACAGCAGCTTTGAAAATGCTAGCTTATGGTTGTTCGGCCGATTCGTTGGATGAGACGTTTTGGATGGGTGGATCTACAGTATTAGAAGCCTTGGATAAATTTACTGAAGCTGTAATAAAACTATAAGGACCTCGCCATCTACGTCTTACAACAAAAGAAGACATGGAATCAATTTTGGAGATTAATGCGGCGCGTGGGTTCCCTGGCATGTTGAGACCCATAGACTGTATGAAGTGGCAATGGAAAAACTGGCCTAGCTCCTGGTGTGGGGCTTGTCAAGGCGCATCTAAAAAGGCAACTGTCATTTTG